ACTATGTTTGCCGAACCGTGATCTCCACTCCAGAACTCGGTTCGCACGTCGATTATCGGTCTTCGACAGATATCGCCTGTCCACTGCCAATTCAGATTGCTTATTCTACGAGCTATGTCGACGACCTTAGTTCGAACACAAAAGTAATCTATAGATAGATAGATAGATAGATAGATATAAGTAAATTATATATAGCTTTTCAGTTCTATATTAGTGTTGTGATTTTTGAATTGGAATCCTTGTCAGTCTTGCCAATCTATTGTAACATCATTACTGTTTAGTGTTTTGCCCATGTTCTTCGATCTTTAATGACATCAAATGCTTCATGTACTGACTGGAACGGAACTGGTTCTATTATGTTATCCATTTGACATTCACTGCTAGTGTCGCGAGTTTATGCTCACGAAAAGTAAACCAACTATTTATATAAAATCAATCAATTAAATTTTTAAACTTCTGTGATATTGTTATTGTTGTTTTGTATATTTGTGTACTGATCAAGTGTAACGAACAAAACTCTGTGCCATCGTGCGGTGTCCGCTCGCTCATTCAAGTCTCACTCGAAGACTCACATCGGCTACCAAACATACAGCCCACCCGTAGCCACGTGCCTCTATTTCTTTACATCAATGCTAGTCCCTGGGACTGCGTTATAATATTCTACAGATTGAAATTTATATTTCATTATGAATCTTTCAAGGATAATAGTCCCATTGATAATTTCAATGGTATTATAATTTGAGGCCTCTCACAAGTCATGAATGAAATCGACCATTTCATACATTTTAGTTCAGTAATAAACATTTTGTTTCCCATCGGCAGTACAATTCTCATTTTCACAGTTAATCTTATTCGCAGCACGTCTAGAAGCTGGTTTGATTAATAGATATTGTGTAATTCTCTGACCGCACGAGTTTTTTTGCTGTTGTTGTTGCATTTCGTCTCGTCATGTGGGTGTGACTGATGGGTTTTGGGTTTTTGGTGTTTCTTTCTGTGTATTTATTAAGCTATCAGTGAGAATTGTTCAAAAAGCTACCTGGATATTCAAGAGCTGACAGTTTACCTTTGTTTTAGCATACAGGAGTTCGCAGGCAATATCACGGTGACCAGTTTCAGCCACTCAATCTAGTCCTAATGCTTTTGATTTATTCTCTTTTAATCTTTCAAAGACTAAAAGGAACACATGAAGGGTCACTTTCTTATGTCACCTAAGCGCCAACTCATCAATTTCACAAGTCTAAACTCAAGATTTTCCAGAAGGCAATGTGACTCAGCATTCTGGACTTTAAAAGTATTGCCGGAGTACGCAATACAATGCTACGTTGGATGACTGGCATTGGTGGTGGAGCAAAACAGTTACGCTCAAACGGGACTGTGCGAGACACGTTGACCGGATGGAATCCGAGAGGTAGGCAAACATCGTAACTTCTTGGGTGTCCGAAGATGGAAGGCGACGACGGGGACGACCAAGAAGGCATTGGTGGGATGATCTTGATAGGTTTGAGAAGGAGTGGTGAAAAATCGTCAAAGACAGGGAGCAGTGGATTTTGGGAGAAACCTGTGCCCAACAGTAGGGCACAATATGTTAGTAAAAAAAATATTAATGAGTATAATGTTTGCAGTGTGTATTATTGTAATTAAGTTGATTTAGCTAAATTGGCGTAAAGTATAATAATTAATAAAAATACAACTGCCATATTGTATCTAACCATTTATTTATTAGTACACAAAACGATGTTATTCCGTAGAGACAGTCACTTCTACTACGACGTTGTAAATATTCATTTGATGGTAAACTTATGTATTATAATAAATAGAATAGGAATTATTACATTGACAATTTTTTTCTCTTAATTTACATGCTACAGACTGCGAAAAGAATATGCTTACTGCTGTAGACAACATGTTTTGAGTTTAAATTTTGCTTGTTTTGGTTAATGATAATGTGATATGATTTAATGAAGAAAAATTAATAATGATTTGAAACGATTTTAAAAAATGTCAAGGTTTTGCAATTCATTTTAGTGATATCCTTTTACAAGAGGTCCAAGTGCTCTCCAAAGAGCTGCTCCGTTGTCGGATCTTGCCAAAGAAGTTTAGTACATCAAGGGTCAACGGATCATCTGATGCGAATTCAGAAATCGGAAGCCATACCATAATAAACTATTGTAGCTCTGTAATATCTTCCAATCCACCAGAAGGCGGATGTAATCTCACATAGTTCCAGATTCTATGACGTGAGAAATTCATTCATCATAGCGTCATCGCTATTTTCTATAAAGACCATATTTAGACACAAATATGCTCACGGTGTTTGTTCGTCCTTGAATATGAACCCCATTTCATAGTGGTGATTTCATAGAAGTGAAATTGTATGAGTGACATTTTATGGAATCTGAACCACATTTCATTTCACATGGGTGTTATGGAAATGCCTCAGAGTAAGTTCTTTTTATCTGGTATTTATAGCACAAGGAATTCCCCAATTTGAGACCAGGTAATTGGTGTTGATGTCTGATAATGTAACATTATTGTTACATTACATTATCATTGTAGTCTGCCATAAATAGATATACGAAACAATTCTAAAAACCAATATTTGTTAAGAGATAAATAACAACAGTTGTAAGCTAGACAGCAGTAAATATACTTTTAATTACATACATTTTAATGTATATTAGATATTTATAAAAACAGAACCGTATATTTTTTATTTAACAAAATTTATATTTCAAATCACGTAATACAAGCGTAGATTTTCACATAATATAATTATTAAAAATTAATCTTTAATCCAGCCTTGTAATAAACATATACATGAAAATACAATATATTTATTAATTTTATTAAATTAACATAACATAGATAATCAAATTTAGTAAAATTGTTATGGTGATTGTTTTAGTTATAATGAATATGCATGTGTAATAAACAATGTGATCATTTTTAATCAAAAGAGACAAATTGCGCGACTCTATAGTAATGAAAATCGACAAGAAATCTTTAGACGTAATATGTGCAATGCAGTTTAACTGAGTTCGTTATAATTTTTTTTATATATTTTTGTTGTTTGCACAATGTTTTTTAAATAGCCATAAGAGTGTTATTGTTGAAACATTGCTGCCTTTTTTCTCTTTTTTCAGATTCTTTCAAAATATTATAATGTAAATGAACCGCATACCACAAATTCTCATACGGGTGCGGTAAAGAAACGCCGATATTAGGCAATATTGAAGCATAACTTTAGTATGACGATAAAAAAAATCTTTTTGAATCACAAGTTATGTGGTTAGCGGGGCAATTAATCCTTTACCTACCATCCTTATCATAAACAACGTAATCCAAATGTTTACCGAAATTTAGTAATTAACATGTCTGAAATCAGCAAAACAAGCTCTATAACACCTGATGAGCGGTTTTGTTATATCTTATTTAGTTTCAGTTTTATTGGGCAAGATCAATAGACATTTTTTTACTAAAAAAAAACTTGTGGTGTCAATATCTATATATTTAGTAGCAGTAGTTCCTTGTAAAAGAGTTTGTCTAGGGAAGTACTGCCACCTTATCTATTTCTACCGCCAAGCAATGACGTGAGCGTTATTGCATTCCGGTTTTGAAGAGTAAGGTTGCTGGTGAAATTACAGGTACATGGGACTTGTCAACTTATGTCTCAGGGTGACTGGCGCAGTGGCAGTGCCCCTCAGATCTTTGCGATTTAAAGCTCTGAGTGGCACTGTAACTATAATGGACAAGAGTGTGACTTACAACGACGCACACGATTGGCTTATTTGTTGTTTATAATAAGGAAGGCAGTATGTGTTCCAAAACAAACAGATATTTACAATTGACGAAGAGTTTTAATTATATAATTACTTTTATTGTACTATATATGTACTACAGATATATATATATCAATTATTACATCAAGAAAGAAACTGTATAATCTCCTATGTATCTACAAAACATTTATTAGTATAATATTATATATCTTTTAAAATAGGCTATGTATTTATAATTGACTTTAAACTCTATTTATGGTACCTACAGTAGTAAGTATAATGACAATATTTGTAATATTTACTTTAAAAGATCTTTGGATGTAGTTTTATCCGCTCACGCGATTCACGCGTCTCTGGAAGCATACCACACCTAGAGGTGCCGGTGATGATTTTATACCGATTTATCGGATATCGAAGTTACAACAGGTAAAAGAACTATTACTAATTACTATTTCGGTAACTACTCTAGCAAAGCATAAAGTTTTTAATGCCTGGGTTTGTCATTTAAAAAAATAAACAACTTCAAAAATACGTCACGACAATCGTGTGTGTTATTGTTTGGGCTGGTGATTTCGGTGTTTATTTATTGAAAACATACCGTAAGTTGCGTTTTTTAAGTTTACCCTGTATATAAATGATTATAAACTATACTTTAAGGAGTAATTTCATGGTAAACGTTAGAACCATTCAAACGGAATATTATCATATTTCCCCAGTACACCAAAAATTTCATTAGTGCTTTTTAAATGCAGGATTTGCGGTGTATTACTGCATTTTTTTGAAATGTTTTTGTTGTAGTACGGAGGGCATTTATTTAGCAATGCAGAATATTAATTTTTATTTATAAAAACTTGTATTTAAACTGAATCCTTTTCTAATTTGCGAAACCAAATAGCCGCCATTTTGCGGTAGGATGAGCGCATCGCGTGAGCGGTTAAATTGGTAAAATAAAGATTAAAAGCAACAATTTTTACATATAAGTGATATTCTTTAAATAATATAGGAATTATAATGACTATTATTAACAATTATGGCTTGTAAAAGCCTGAAATTATGTACTTAATATTTTTTTATTACAAAAATGTAAGCCACAACCAAATGAGGGGATGCATCCAGCTTAGGGTGAATTTGTGAATGGTTCGTTGCGAAATATCGATTTTGATTAAGATAAATAACATTTCAACTTGTTAAATTTGTTTACGTAGGTACCAATGATTTTTGGGGTATTAATTTATGTCTAACGGTGATGTGAACAGATTACATATTTTCCAAAACGTATGCGTCGTCATTTTGCTGCCGCCGGTAGTTCTCCATCTGAAAATAGGAAATCATATTATTTGGGGCAATAATGCACTACGTGTTCTAGGCGTTCAGGATGCTGATAGGCAGAGAACAAAATATAAAGTTAATAATTATAACTAACTAGTGGAGTGATTTCACATAAAAATAATTGAATATCAGTTCAATAAAAATTTTAATACAATGAATAGCGACATTTCTAGCCGGGGCTAGTAGCTGTAAAGGTATCTAACTGGGTGAGAATGGGTTTTCTGAGTGTTCGATCTTTATACTAATAATTAATATACAACGTGCTTAGAGGGTAGGGCACGTGTGCCAACAGTACGCGCAGGTCGACACACTTGAGTTCAGTATCTCTACCACGGGTCTACTGTGACAGTTGTCGCTAAAGACCGCGTAAATAATTACTTCATAATTTTGCTTGGCAAATTATACAACGCCCCTAGCGGTCACAAGTAGAAACAACATTTAGTATACAAACATTTTACGCTGTCGCCAGCGGCTCGTGGTAGAGGCACAGTTGCCCATTATCGCTTTATCGTCGTGTTAATTATGTCACACAAAATCGAAAAGATGGACAAATTCCTTATTTTGCTACTTTAGAGCGCAAAAATTATAGTCGTCTGACGTGTAATATTATCCATGATGTTGTTTTATATCATCGATAAGCAATATGGTCGACTTTTTGTGAAGAACGTAAATTGTTCATCGTCTCATAGTCTTTTAGCTATCACCGATAGATGGCAACACATTGGAAGAAGTTTCAATATAAAATAAAAACGTTGCAACTTGCAATTATAGGTATTATTGAATTTTCAACGATATACCAACTGAGTAAAGTTTAAATTATATTATCACTCCTGAATTTATTGCATCTTTTCAAATTAGAAACTACGATGAATTTATCTAGATTTCATAGTGTTTAACATATCGCACTTTGAATTCAATAGTTTATTAACTCGTAACTTTTTCAATTAGGGTTTTTGGTTGGGTTAGGCTGAAAACGCACGGGGAGCGCCCATCTGGGCGGAGGCCCTCGCCACCAGACTGCGGCCGCTTCTGCGCAGACCGCAGAAGCTAATGGCGGTGAGGGCGATTCGGGCGTACCGGACGGTTTTCGGAGCGGCGGCATGCGCCCTGGCTGGATCCGCACCATGGGAGCTCGAGGCGTCCGTCCTCGAGCAGACCTACAGGTGCCGTGCGGAAGCCAGGGCACGTGGAGAGCGCCCCACACTAGAGGAGCCAGTGGGGGTTCGGCGTGCCGCCAAGACCGCCGTCCAGGCGGGGTGGGAGGAGGCACTCCGATCGGCCAGATACGGGGAGCGCACCGTCCAGGCGCTGCTCCCTGTACTGGCCGATTGGAGAAAGAGGAGGCACGGGTCCCTCACCTACCGTCTTGTTCAGGTACTCACCGGACACGGCTGTTTCGGTGACTACCTGCACAAGATCGCACGGAGGGAGGTGACCCCGGAGTGTCACGAGTGCGGCGCTGCTACAGACTCGGCGAGGCACACCCAGGAGGTGTGCCCGACCTGGAGCCAGCAGCGCCGGGATCTCGTAGAGGTGGTGGGACGAGACCTCTTACTGCCCAGCATAGTCAGAGCAATGCTGGGAAGCGAGAGATCATGGCAGGCGAAGGTCTCCTTCTGCGAGGACGTGATGTCGCAAAAGGAGACACCCGAACGGGTCCGCGAAGACAGCGCCCTCTTGGACCCCATTCGGCGTCGGCAGAGAGGACGCACGCGACGGCTCTTCGCTTCGGTCTCTCCAGCTCCACCACAATGGGGCGGAGCCCTCGGCCGATGGCCAGCGCCGTCGGGACCGCGGAAAAGTGCGAAAGCATTCCCGTAGTCCCGGCAGCAAGGTGCAAGGACGGAACACCGTGTGGTTTTAGTCGGTAGGAGTCCGACATGATCTCTCTGTTGCCCCCCGCAGCAGAGAGATATCCATGAAGATTTCCCCACGTAAAAAGAAAGGCTGAAAACGCACGTTGATGGGAGGTTTTAAGAGATAGGAGAGATATTGTCTTTGGTCGGTTTTGTGACAGGTTAGCTCTGGCGAGCCAAGGAGGGAGCAGCCATATTAGCTAAGATAATTTGACATCTGTTGTAATAATTTTGTTACTCATCTATTTTTGATTGATTATACTGATAAATACTGTGACCGTGACTTTTATTATATCTACTTGAATATTTAAATAATAACAATTGCCACGGAAATTAGGTTGTGAACCTCATATTATTATTAATATTACTCATATCATAATAATCGCTGAAAAAATGTCATCATAATATCAGGCACGATGTTATTGGCGATTACAGTAAAACTACTATATAACACATAGGGAGATGCTGAGACCTTTATTTGTACAAGGGAACCCCATTCAATATTATCTTCAGTTCGTGAACTTGGAACATAATACCGTCCCTACAAAGGTGATATTACTAAATCCTCGAGCTCTTTCTGTGATATAAATAGGGCGCACTATAAATTTTCGGAACTGGCCACTTGCATAAACAATATTTACAAAGTAATTACAACATTTGAAAATGGAACTCTTTGGCTGTAGAATACAGTTTGTTTCATCTAACTGTCACTTGTTTTTACATTGTGGCGTCATTTTACAAATTGGTTGTCAACATCATCATGGATTTAACTCGTGAAAATTTTAGTAGTATGATTTTCTACGACTTTAAGTGTAACTTAACAGCTCAGCGGAGCTTCGCTCGGCTTCAAACTGCTTTTGGCGATGAAGCACCATGCAAGATGACTATTGATAGCTGGTTTGCAGAATTCAAACGCGGTCGTGTGAATCTCTGTGACGACATGACTATGAACAACAAAAACATCGATGCTGCGCGCCGTATGATCAAAACAGACAGGCATGTAACATGCCATAAGATTCGGGCATCTTTAGGCATAGGCATGAGTCAAATACAATCAATAATACACAAACATTTGAATGTGAAAAAGCTGTGTTTTCGCACACAATTGACTGAGTCTCAAAAAACGGATCACGTCACTTGGTGCCATGCTTACCAGATTCAAAGAAGGAGCGTCAAATTTGGTGTGAGACATAGTAACAGGTGACGAAACATGGATTTATAGTTACGATTCCAAAACAAAGCAGCAATCGAGCGTATGGGTCTTTCGAGATGATCCGAAACCAACCAAAGCGGCTCGCGTGCAAAGTGCCTCTAAGCGGATGATTGCTTCTTTCTTTAATAAAACTGGACACGTGGCTACTACTGCTTTGAAGAATTGTTGTACCGTGAATAGTGATTGGTACTCGATCATTTGTTTGCCGGAAGTTATTGACAAACTCCGTAAAAATAACCGTAAACGCCGATATATCTTGCACCACGATAATGCCAGTTCTCCCACGGCCAGACAGACAAATGAATTTTTGAAGGTGAACAACGTTGACCTTATGAGCCAACCCGCGTACAGTCCCGACCTGACACCTTGTGGCTTTTATTTATTTTCAATAACTAAGAACCAGTTACGCGGTCAACGATTTTCATCACCTGAAGAGGCTGTCGAAGTGTATGAAAAATACGTTTCAGAGATTGTCACGGAGGAGTGACATAAATGTTTTCAAAATTGGTTCATTCGTATGAAAAAAAGCATTAACGCGAACGGAGAATATTTTGAGAAACAATAAATTCATTTCTGACCATTCAAAGTATTTTTTTCTGATTAATTCCGGAAACTTATAGTGCGCCCACATATGTACACTTGAGATTCTGTGAAATGATGGATGCTAGAGAATCGAGTGTGTGATTGTAATATATTTGTCCTTATTTATACCTGATTGTTATTATTTTCATAATTAACTTAGTTTTCACGGAGCATTAGTTATTAACTATAATACTGTGTAAATATGTTTACAATAAATAAATAAAATAAATGTACTTGAAGTCTTAAAATGATGTCTCTAAATAAACATGATAATAATCTCTGCTCAGAGTATTAAAAAAACCGACCGCAAAAATAATTTATCCCCTAGTTTGCCACCTTTAGAAGTGGAATTTTTTTCTTCAAACTTAAATGGGACCACTACTGAGGGTACACTCTTTCCAACAAAAAAATAATCATCGAAGTTACAAAGTAATAATTAATAAAAAATTAGACAAATAACCCTGAAGCGTCTAAGTTTAAGAAGTATCTCAGACTTTATAAAGGCAAAAAAGTACATCGATTATACAATACATACTAAATACAATAATTCAACACCTAGGTATTATCATTACCATAACCCAGAACGATTCGACTTCTCAAACGCGTTTTGCAGCTCATTTGCAAACTGCACAAAGACTTTACGTTCAGTGACTTTGTTTTTGTAATTAATTTTTATTCACAAAAACGGTATTTTTATTTTTATTTTCATATAATTTGTTTTAATTTATTTTTTTACATTTTTTATTTTGTTTTTATTCTGTCATTTTTTGTTCCTATGTTTTGTTTTTATTTTATTATTCTTTCTAATTATTCGTTTTAGTTTTTTCTTGTTATGTGGTGTCATTAACAATAATAATACATTTAATTATTTCTCACCACAATACAACTTAATAAACGTGATACAAGTGCTATACAAACTATCCTATAGATTTTGCAGGAGACCGATGCCTGAATTTTTACCTTTTTTTTTTTTTTTGTTACCGTGCTGATCTGGCATATAGAGGTTTCCGGTTCTATTCCCGGGCCGGGAGAGATATTTGTATGGCGTACATTTATTTCTCTCGTGATTTTGGGTGTAAATTGTGGTTTATGTGTGATTCTATGGTGGTTGTGGTCTAATTGTGAGTCCATGGCAGTCGCGACACAGGGTTTCCTTAGCGCGGGGCTATGAGAGTGTGCGTTATTATTGTCATTACTTCAGACACCAAAAAGTGCCTTATTGTGCTGTTTTGGAGTGCAAAAATCATAGCTGCACCAAAAATATTATCCATAGTCATCTACCAACAAATGGATGGCGGGTCTAAAAAAACCACGAAAAAAATGTCCGAAGTTAACCTATATAAACGTAGTGACATGTAAGGAAATATAAAAAACTAAAACATTTAATTTAAATTGTAACGTCATTGCAGTACTGCCTAATTTTTCTTGCAACAATTTAAGGGCCCAAAAATACCATATTTAGCTTCGAATGAAAATTACTTGAACACAAGAGTAATGGAGTAGTACATAGTAATAATAGTAGCCTTTATCGTAAATATTAATTAATTTTTATAAATATTATTATGTCGAATTTTGTACAAATTCACTTATAGAAATAATAGAAAATTGGGCAGATACACATACACAAATATTACTACAGATGTGAAAATAAGCGTGTACTATAAGAAATGTACCAATATTCCAACTAAACGTAAACTCAAATATCCGTAATTCCGAAAACCGATTTATAATAAAACCGTTACGCTTTCGAGTAATTTTCATGCTTTTCACAAAAACAAAATTAGCTTTTGTTGTAATCTTCTTAAAAAAATACATTTGACATTATGAAAATTCGAGCCAACGTTATTTCGGGTAAATGTATTTTCTGATTTCTAATCCCAAGCCGTAAAACGAGTAGGTACAACAATATTTTGTTAATTATTGCTCACGTTTAATAAAAAATCATTGTAAAAATAAGATTAAAATCAAAGCGACCCTATAGTTTCTTTGTTCTAAATATTTCAATTACTTGTGGTTCGAACATTGACTTATTTGTAAGTCAATGGGTTCGAACAATTGAAAATAAGCTTCTTGATATTGACGTAATGGGTCTCTATCCATCTTTTGCACATACAATGTGTAGAAAAAGGACAGTTAGCTATTTAATTATTTTGTGTGCTTTTGTAATTTATATTTACGATTCATATTTAAAAATTAAATACTATAAAACTGTACAAAATAACACTTTAAATGAGAACTATGATAAAACAATATATTTGTTTAGTGAAAATATGATACAAAATCCTGTTTTTACACTTTACCATTGACTTGTATGTCAATGCACTTTACTGCAGAATTTTTTACAAGTTATTATTATATGGTACTGCATGATTGACAACCGCGCTGTCAGTCGAACTAACGAATACTGTTGCGCGATTGACGCTCTGTATGCTATTTTAATGTCCTGTAGGTGCGGACACTTTTTAGCGCGAACCCGACATCCATTTATTGGTAGGTCAATGCCTGTAGTAGTATTTCAAACCATCGGCAAGTAATATTTTAATAAATTTTCAATTTTCTGATTAACAATTCGTTCAGATGTTAATCGTTGTCGTAGTCCAGCTACTGGCCGCAAGATGGCAGCATATTGAATGAGATTTCAATATAAAATCAAAACGTCGTCACTTGCAATAAAGGTGTTGAAGTTTCAACGATATAGCGACTAGGTAAGTTTAAATTATATTAACAATCCAAAATTTGGTACATCTTTTTAAATTAAAAACTATGACCAATCATTATGAAGATTTCATAGTGTTTATCATTATGTTTGAGTGCGGTTTGGCGGCATCGGTTCCGATAATGATCGATTCATATGACACTTGCATTGTTTTTTTTTCTTCCGTGATCAGAAAAATGGCGTCTAGAAGGCGATTATCAGAAACTTAAAGGCAATTTGTGGACTTACCCAGTGCTTGACGATGTTGCGGAGCTTGAACTTAAGCTGTTCCCGAGCGTTTTCATCGTGGTCGAACGCACCTGAAACAAAATGTGTTGTTAGTCTTCAAAGTAACTAGACTCCAGCCTAACTTTATACTTTCAACAAGAAGTTAACTAATATGACAGTTAGTTTAGTTAATGTAATCCCGACAGTGTATAAAACATATTTAGTTAGCTTGGTGTAAAGACCGTGTAATTAGAAGCTTGTTTAATATGCTTTCACCTTTATTAAATTTATTATAATATGATACTTAATTTGCTTAAATTTGGTTTGGAAAATAATTTTAATACCTTGACGCTAATTGTTAAAACTTCGATTAACTTACTCATAAGGGATTTGACATACCCACCGATTGAACAAGATTTGACTTCAAATTTGTGGTTAAAATATATTTATTTCTCAAAAGAATTACATATTCACTTGCTGAGAAACTTAACTAATTCAAACTTACAATAAAAGAAGCGCACTAACTAAAAGCTATTAAAAGTATATGTAGGTAGACAAAAAGCAAGCGAACATAGATATAGGACGCTGCAGAGCGTACTTGATGCGGCAATAACACGTTCAGTAATATGTAAGTTTTTTTTTAAAACCATGTGACGAGATGAACAAGTCGTGCGCCTGGTGGAAAGAGACACTCCTATTCATAACAGTTGCAGTGCCACTCAGAGCCACTGCGCCTGTCACCCTGAGACATAAGGTGACAAGTCCCATGTGTTTATAATTTCTCCAGCACCTTTATCCTTCAAAACCGGAACGCGGTAATGCTGACATTACTGCTTGGCGGCAAAAATAGGTAAGGTGGCAGTACTTCCCCAGGGAAGTCCAGACGAGCCCTTTCACAGGGAGCTTTTTTCTTATATTTACAATAATTTGTTACTTTATATACATACAAAAATACTTGTCATCAAGACGTAAACATCGGAACAAAGAACAAGAACCCAACGTCCATCACCCAGCCAGCTACGTATAGTAAAAAGGCGTCACAAAGCTCAAACAACTTGGTAAATGTAATAATAATTATTAAGACATGATTCGAACATAAAGAAAAATTTATTCCGTCTGATAGGACTCGAACCTGTGTCTGTTTTTAAAAATCCAAGATAACCGTTATACCAACTAAGCTATATATCGAGGCAACGGAAACTTACGAATTTTTCTAAGATCATTGTTTTTTTTTTGTTTTAACGGCTTTTTTGCCGAAGTACCACCTGTGACAAATCTATGAAAGTGTTTACTTCATTCAACTAAGTTTACAGCTACCAAAACTTGACAAGAGATGTCGCTTTATAAATTTTAATATTGATTATATTGAATATTATGATGTTTTACTACTATGATATTCTTTGCGTGCAAACTAGGGGATGAATGACTTTTGAGGTCGGTTGTTTTAGTATTCTGTATGAAATTACTCCACTTGTTTGTTGTAATTACACAAATGCTAAAACTGATATCGAAGGAATATTCCTTTTTGTTCGATCTTAATCATGGGGGTAAAATACCATGATATTCATTGCAATCAATGTTAAAATGCAACCGTTTCAAACCTTTCTTCTGTACTTTCAAATCTCTTCAACTTTTTAATAAGTAGCAAACATCCTTCTAACAATTGAAACATTAGACCAAGAGACGTAAACATTAAAATGTTCAAGATAGCGATCATTGTTTTATCAGAATTTCTTTGAAAAAGGCCCAGGAAAAGCTAATAAGCCATAAAAGATAAAAGTAAGAAAGGCATGAGAAAGGACGGTATTTCGTATCAGTTTTTAAGCATTTGAGAGTAATTAGCATAAATCAATATTTCTTTACGACAGTCAGAAGACTTTCGACTTTGAAATGACATCAAAGGAAAAAGTGCTTTAAGTAATTTTCGATTCTTTCTAATAACAGATGAAGTCTAAATGATTCATAAATCTTGGACTTAAGACAAGCCCTGTTATATATTTAGTAGCAGTAGAGCTCCTTGTGAGAGAGTTCGTCCAGGGAAGTACTGTCACCTTACCTATTTCTGCCGCTAAGTATTGTGAGCATTACTGCGTTCCAGTTTCGAATGGTAAGGTAGCTGGTGAAATTACAGGCACATGGGACTTGTCAACTTATGTCTCAGGGTATCGGGCACAGCAAAATTGCCCCACAGATCTTTGTGATTTAATGGTACTGTAACTGTTATGCACAGGCGTGTCGCTTACCATCAGTCGCAAGACTAAGTTAGTTTTTGTAAAAGAAAAGCCATTTTGTGTTAATTTTTCTAAAGGTCTTAGAAAGGAGATGACCGTGATCACCCCATTTTATATCAGATACAAATGTTATTTTACCTATTTGTGCCTTCTTTATAACTTCTACTACCACGTTTTCCAGATCATTGATTAGTTTGAAGAGAGGAAGATACTTATGCTAAGTATGTACCTAGAACGCATATAAATTATCTTTTTCATAGAATACTTACCTCCATTTCTAACAGGAATCATGTCGTCACCGTACGGTAGGAGGCCGTATCCAGAGTTGGGATAACCTGGGTGCGGTGGAGTTTCCTCTTGTCCAAGACGACCCCCAATCTCCAATTCAGTTCCAGAAGACTATGGGAAAAGAAATACTATATATAAAATACTATATAATAATATATATAATAAATTTATATTTTATCTTTAAATTACTAAATACAAGGCGCACTGCATGCCTATGTAATAATTGTTGTATAGTACATAATATTTGTGATGCCACTAACGGTCTTGCAAGAACAGAAAATAACCGCGATATGATATATTGTGGAAGTTAACGCTAATTCTAAGTATATTGGGGCAAGGAAATAATCAATCACTTGACGGACTGTCCTCTAACGAGCATATTGGGCACCATGAAGGAAATATCGAATAGGATCGATCTGTTCCATTGTTCTTTTAGTTTAGTGGATTCACGAGTATAAGTAACGTATGTTACTTGTAGCACTTTTGCTAGTCTATTTCATTGGGTGGATAAACTGTACCTAAAAGTAGGTTAAGTTTTGGAAATAAATAAAAAAAACAGCACGGATTTCGCTTTAATTCACAAGTCGAAGTACTTTAAATACAGTCCTAGTAATTAAAGACAAACCCCAACTGTTCGACGCATCAATGCCTACAATTCGCGTAGGGTTGTCACGTTGTTAGTTTAGCTGTACCAATAGGTTGAGGGCACAATTTAAAAAAACAAAAGGGTTCATCACAGTGTTTTCGTGCTGTATTGAAATAATATTTGTTAAATGCAATAGTTACGTATTGATATTATTATACCATTCAAGTATGATCAGTATAAAGATGTAAAAAGTCATGGTTACGCAATATAAAGGAGTGGACCGGAGGCACGAGCGCAGAACAAGTATTTCGTTTGGCCGTGAATAGGGTGAAGTTTGACATATTGACGGCCAACCTCCAGTAGTGAAGAGGTACTTTAAGAAGAAGATACCAGGATCGCGGATTGAGGGAGTATAATTATGACAGAGAAATTAAATGCTGAAAAACCATTTGAGGCACGTTTGAATAGCCATAAGTCGAGCAATAAACACATCTACTATTTGATGGTATTTATGAGAACTCTTCAATTCTATAATGAAAGGCGCGTTCAGTAACCCCCGCTTTACAACGCGAGTACACTGCGACATTATGCAAATGTGTGCGTCTTTACACGGCAGTGGCGGGCGTGCACACATACAAGCCGTGCTACTACGTTTGAATAAAGTTACTCTACTTATCTATTATACTATGTTACGAAGTTACTTACATCCAACGACCTCTTGCCATGTCCGCCCCAGCAAGAGTGCCCGAAAGCAGAACAGCCCCCTGAAACAAATGCGAACAATTATATAAAAGCACTATGTAATAGTAATAATAATAACCCACACACTCATAGCTCCACGCTAGGGAAACCCTGTATCTAGGGTGTCATGGACACACATAGACAACCACAAATTACACCTAAACTCTCGAGGGAAATAAATGTAGTTCACACAACTATTTCTTCCGGGCCGGTAACCGTTCGACCACGAAGGCAGTTATGGGTATAAAGTTAAATAAATATGATCGGATAAAATAAATTAAAAATCATAAGATGAGTATAAACTTGGCTAAATCAAAGGGAGCTGTGAAGCCACCGCCATCTATGCTACAGACGTATTTGACGAACGGAGGACGCGAAGTGTAGCTAAAAGTGGACGTAAAAACAGTCTTTAACACCGCAGTGAGGAGCCTTTCTGACAAGACTTTGCACCATCTTTGAAGATACAAATTTTCTCCTAACTTTAGCAATGTTAAACAACTAAAATTTATATACATAAACAATCCTTTAGAGTCAGCAGTTGGCTGTCAATAAGGTGACTGCCTTGATATGGGCAATCCACTACCATATTATTCCATTTCATATATACCATATTAAATCAAATTCCAAATTCAAGATATGAGATCTGGACTCCAAGTCCGCTATTATTAAATCATCTCAGGTATGTGTGTTTGGTATTATTCTGTAATAAGTCAAAAGTAGTGGCTATATAGCCATCGAGCTACAATCCTACTGTCATTGCATTTTTTTGATATTCTGCTCTTCAATTTGGTATTCTGCTCTTGCTGATTATATTTGCAGTCTCGTTTACGAGATCAAAACTTAAGATATGCGCAGCAATTTCCACGGTAGATTTTAGTACGGCAACATCAATAGTTAGGGCTTGAATGAATGACATTTAACTGCCATTGCAATAAGGTTTTAGCAGAATAACAAAAATATATGTCATAATTGCAATACAATCCCAATGGCTCTATCACCTAAGCCTCTTCATAAAGAAGTTTCGTTGTAATCAACTTTACAAAATGTGAGCTATTTTTAGCCAAATCCGTGTCAAAATTGAATGTCCTGATCCCCAATATTTACATCCTTGCAGAAAATATCTTTATCTCGCTAGGTGTCCCTATCCTTCATTATTTGATTCCGGTATTCACGAATGATCAGATAACAAATTCATGGAATCTCAAGTACCATTACATCGTGACTATACAGTATGTTTTTTTAAACTGAGACAGTATGCTGCCGTTTGATAACTAAAACGCTGACAATTTTTTTTTTGAATTATCATAAAAAACCATAACCCAGTTTTCGAATACAGAAATGTTTAATGATATTTCAGTTGTGCATCGTTAGGGTAAGTTCCGATAAGTCGATCACATTAACTAAAAATTAGTTTTTATAAGAAAATTTTGTAATGTATCTTTTGCTATTTACAACGGATGTTTGACAATTTGTCAGTTAACCGCGCTTTAGTTAGCGATGTGGGGAAATCCGAAATTATAGGAGATAGGGGAAAACTTTTTTTAGGAATCGTGAAGTCTTTTTTCGTGAAAACAATTTTGGCGTAATCAATTTTTTGTCAAGCGCCAGTTGTCCGTAAAAATAAATAACCCATTTCTGCCTACAATCGTGGGACAGCAATTATGGACTTTGGTATAATTCCAGACTTATTACGCATTTCGATGTAAAAAATCTTTTAAAGATGATAAAGATGTATCACCACACAATACCCACCTTGCATCCTGTGTATTCTCACCACTAAGGATGCACATTATGATTTCATTATTTATATCGATTTATTTCAATGCGATTTTCAAGCGAATCGATTCAACAGAAAGAATATCGAACCGTTCCGGACGCGCGAATTTTTGTAATGTATGAGTTCATATGAACCCTGCTACACTGAAACGCGCGGCGGCCGCGCGTCTGCCGCCTCTATGTAGCCTGAGCATTAAATAAAGGTACAGGCCATAAGAGTCAATGTAATAAATAATTGAGCACTGCTCATGAAAGAATGGTATAAGTGGAATTATGTTAAACATATTTATTGCTCCATTAGATACAGAAAATGTAACCCACGTCCTCTCGAATTGGAGATGTGCGTTATTTTTTTCTATATCTAATAGAGCAATAAACAACGTTCTTCCACGAGGGGTGCGTGCATTAATATAGTTTTATTTCCAACGTTATAATTAATAAGGAAATGAAAAATAAACAACATACAAGGTAACGGCTATTGATATCATTTCTTTGTTATGTACTTACTTGGCAAGTATATTTCATGTATATCTATTAATAATAAAAAAATACATTAAATTAGTAAATACATTGCGTATTAATTCAATCATATCGATAAAGATTCAAACTGTAGAAGCGTAAGAGTCCAATTAGACGAGACTCGAAAGTTCGTGCGGCCGCCGCGCGGTGACCGCCCAGTTACCACGCTTTCGTTATATTAACGGCGAATCTGAATTCTATTTGCTAGGCAACAACATTTAAATTCCTCGTAATAATACAACCGAGCAGAAGCCGCACGGGAACCGCGTAAGCCAGCCTCTCATTTCAGTTAAAACGTAAAAAGCTAAATAAATAGAGCGTATTTTGCGCGCTATAACAATTTAATTTGCAATTCTTTGCAATATAGGTTCATGTTTGACGATACTACGTGTGTAAAGAAGTGGCCAAAACTATCATGTCTTTTTTTCCAGGTTTTTTTGTCTGTTTAACACCTGCAAAGGCTTAAAAGAATATGGATTGTGAAGAATGAAGAAGTCTATACCGACCAGAGTATGGTTCTTAAGGAAGACGAAGATATTTAAATAGTAATTTTTTATGAATATCACTAAATAATGTAACAGTGAAGCTACATTTTAACATGGAGTGTAGGAGTGAGTCAATAAATGTACAATATTGTAAACTAAAATGCGGAATATATTTTTTGGTACGATATTTCAATAAGCACTCACCAGATGTCTCGTATCCAAGTAGTTGTTTTTATTTTTATCTTAATTTCAGCAGTTTATCTGAACATAAATAAAACTGAAGAGAAAGAAATAATTATGACTTTTTATGAACAAAAAACCGATCTCCAAAGTTCGTAATGTCGTGGAGTTACATCTACTTGCCAAGTTGTATTGACATCGGTTACAGGGAAATCCGCGAAACCGGATTCATCCCCTAGTTTGCCACCCTTAGAGGTGGAATATTTTCTTCAATTTAATCGAGAGTAATACGGAGGGTTCTGTCCAACAAAAAAGAATCATCAAAATCAGTTCACAAATGACGCAGTAACCGCGTAACATACCTTGACAAAAAAATGAGAGCCGCGTCCTTAGTGTGAGGTCAGACGAGCATAATTTTGTGAGTTGTGAGTCGCGTAGTTTGAGATGCGCTACATTCGATTTCATATAAAAGTACGGGCACACGACGACGCAAAATGAGTTATTTGCCGACACACGGGCGTAATGACGGCTGACTTTCGGTCGCGCCGGTTTCGGGTGAGGGAAGAGGTCACTTTGGTATAAATGCTTAAAAAGCAACTGAATAAAATACGATCGTCTGATGAATTTCAAACTGCGCAACTCAAGAAACGCAACTCACAACTCACAAAATTACGCTTGTCTGGCCTCACCCTTATTTTTGAAGTGGGTTAATAATGTAATAATCTGAACATCATTTAATGATGTTAAACAAACAACGGCGAAATGCGCATCAGAAAAACCATGTTTATAAAGAAATGTATACATTCACAGACCAAATCAAATACTCAGCTCTACGGGATGTCGTACGTAGTTTGTAACGTTTTATATCAATCGGTGCTTATTTAGTGTGGCAAGGTCAAAGTTGACGGTTCGAAAACAGATTTTAAGGAACTGGAATGAGCTCGATGGGCTATGCTTAAAATGATGCTTCGTAAATCTTTTAGAGCTCAGACACGTGGCGTGTTTATACGCGCCAAGGACGTGCAAACCACGCGCGTCAACGTGATTCAAACGCGATGCAGTCGCAGCTAGTAAGCGCCCAGTTACACAACGCAAAAGTTTTCGCGCGGCCGCCGGGCGGCCGCCGCCTAGACCCAATTCAAGCTAGTCTCGCCTGCGCGCCCGGGACGCTCATTTACGTTGAAACATAAAAGCTAAATGAATAGAACGTATTTTGTCATGACAGTTAGGCTCAACTAATACTGGCGCAGAGTCGAAGCGTCGCGACGCGTCATATTTTTCGCCTATAGCATATTCATCTCTATTTTCCCATTATTAAGGTACAAATTTGTGATATGCAAATATGGAGTCGAGCGGCTTCACGCGTTACTTGGGCACAGTGAGACGTCAAACGCCGACCACATTGTGATCCGGGCGCCCTAATGCGAGCATCGTCGCGCGTCGCCATGCGTTGTAGTTGAAAAACAGGACGCGACGCGATGCTTCGACTCTGCGCCAGTATGAATTGAGCCTTAGATTCACGCGGTCGCTGCGCGGCGGCTGGAATTCGTGTCAAATAAGTGCACACCATTGCACATGTCGCGCGTATGATAAGAGATTCTTTGATGTAATTTTAGTTTTTTGTTAATTTCAGTTAGTTTGAAGCAAGTACATGAAAATCTAAGTGTAAACTCCAGTGGACTGTATAAGCTTACTTACGTTACGTTTTTGTGTTACTAATGTCATCATATTTTGAGGATATAAATTATATATTGTAATAACATAACTTGCATCCAATAAGACATTTTACGGTACAAAACTAGCACATAAAAAGAGACAAATAATTAAATGTTTATACTCTATTCACATAATATCTATTAATTATTGACAAAATTTAATTTTAAGTTGTGTAACCGCAACTTATCATTGACATTTGTCATGATAATTATCTCCATAACTGCTGGTACAAGAAGTGTCTGCGATGATCAGTGGCGTCTCCCTTAACAGGTTGCTGGCAAAATACCAGTGTCGTGGGCAACTGAGCCAACGTGTTTTCACTGCTATGACATTCCAAAACCATTTAGTTTGATTACTTCTATTGATATTCGTTGTTATTTTATTAAATGGTTTAATATTATAGTGTTAGTTTTAGTTGATATGGACGTGTATTGTAAATAAATGGCCATCTGTCAAATCTGTTAGTTTCTCTGTATTTAACGCTTAAAGTAGTTTTAATGAAAACAGACATGGAAATATAATCTCAACATTATCATTTATTTATACTTTTAAAGGTATAGGTAATTTTTTAGTAATAACATTTGGATACGGAAATAAATGCGTTCAAATACGAATAGGTCACAGCCAGTGCAACTTGGCCGAAACGTCGGGGAAGTCGGTAGATGTGAAAAATACCTATTTGTATTTGAACGCACTTATTCCCGTTTCGAAATGGTATTATCATTTGTTTTTATTACTTCTAAAAACGAAAACAAAATCTTTATAACTCCGATATTTAGATCGTACTGGATATCGCAGCGGCGAACTTTCTTCACCGGAGGATTCTTCAATTTGTGGAATTTTCTCTACATCAAGTTGAGAGTCGTAATCCACCACATTAAACATTATTCCTTCGTCTTCGCAGGCTATTGCCGTGGTCATCATTTCTGAATCGAAATCAGCTCCTGCTTCGTTATTGTCTAAATCGTCCTTAAGTTTGTCATTGACTAAGTCATCCTCTGGTTTCTCTTCAGGCCCTGAATACCAGGCACCTAAAATCGTAACAATATCTTCTACCTGTCCATAATATCGCGTATATTACTGAATCGCCTTCACAATAAATGCGTATCGAAATATATTGTCCCTAATTAAGGGGAGTGATGGAAAAAGTTTGACATCATGACGGTAACCTATTACAAACACGATTTTTTTTTCCGAAATAACGATTGTTCGAATTTTCATTACACCGAAAACCGAATTATAACGAAACCGTTGTTCTTTCAGGATATGTTGAATGTTCATCACAAAGATACGATTATATTCGGTTAGGTTAGGTTAAGTTAGGTTTAAAAGAAAAACATTTTCCTCTCAAAATTACTTTCGAGGTTATGAAATTTCGACTAAACGTTATTTCTGGAAAATGTCATTTCGAACTACTGATAGGTAACCCATCACGACTTTTCAATTTATTGATTTAATATTTCTACTGCAAGAATCATCATGTTAATCAATGTGAGGTGAAGATGGCATCTCTACCTTAATACATACGAATATAGACCTTGTAACCTTGAGTAATTAGAACGAACTTTCAGCTTTAATTTCCTTTGTAAATAGTTTTCAAGAAGAAGAAATTCTAAATCTAATTTTACAAAGAACCACGCATACAATTTTTTATTTTCTATGTACTTATGCGCCAAGAACTTGTGTGTCTATATGATAATTAAAAATACTAATAATTCAAAGTATTATTAAGACGGTTCAGGCGTTACGATAATGGTTCAGGGAATGTACATAAATGTAATAAATCAATTATTGAAAACGTATAAGGAAAATTAAAAAAGAAATAACGAAAATTGTGACAACTTGTAAAGTAACAAATTATTGTGCGTTAATCGCCACCTTAAATTTTCTGACTTACTTGGTAAGCTCGTTTTTACGTTATCTGTTAACACATAAAAACAACTTAAAATGAAAAAGTAATTATTTCCGAGTAGTTCAGACAGTTAGATACAGGATATCATTATAATAGTTTAATTTGAAAGTCGTGTTAATACAGCTACATTTGACGAGATTATTATAAATATGTACAAAAACATTAGTAAAGAAAAAATTAAGAAATAAAAATTTCGATAAGCTATGAAAGTGACAGTCATTATGTCTTTTGTTTTTTATAATACTTACATGGCAAAGTCATATTTTGTATCTCTGTTTATACAAAAATCAAATGAGTAATTTAGACGTTTAAATAAAAACACAGGAAGAATAAGTAGATGTAACAATTTAATTTAAAATCTATAATAATATGGAATTATATTGTATGACGTTTTAAGTGTTTTAACATTTTAAGAGGAAAATAAAGGAAATAAAGAAAATTATACCTAAATTAAGCACCGGATATTGCGATCTTTATTTTGTATATACTTACTTGGCAAGGTCATGTTTAGTTTATCTGGTAATAAACCAAAATAACTTAATGTATATTAAGTTGGAGTAATTCAGACAAGTTAGTTAAAAATTCAGGTAATTAAGCTTAACAATTTTACATGAAACATAATAATATTACCATTAACTATTTTAATGTTTGAAGAAGCTAAAGAAAAAAATATACGAAAATTATTATATTTTGTAAAGCACCGCCATTGCGTTCTTTTGGTTTTCTATTATGTACTTACGTGACATTGTTAATTTTTGTTTGCCTGGTAGTAAAAAGTTTCAGGTTTTGAAACTATTTCATACCGTTGGCCGTAGCCATAGGATTTGTAAAGAACTCAAAAAGTAATTTTGGTTGAAAACAGATGTTTAAGCTATTTAGATCTGAAAAACTAGGCTCAGTTCCAAAAAAACAAAAAAAAGTTAAAGAAGCCCGTATATTTCAAACAAAGTGTAAGTAACTGTAATAATTTAATTTGAAATGTAACGACATTCCATGTGTAAAAAAATATTAAAATTTAAAGGAACTAAATAACTTTTCACATCTTGTCAATTACTAGTTATTGTAATCTTTTATTATATGTACTTACTTGATAACTTCTTTTTTTGTTTGGCTGGTAATAATGAAATAACCTATAGTATATTATAACTCGAAATTGATCAGGCATTTAGAATGCTGGAAGAATAATAAGTAACGGTAATAATTTAATTTGAAAGCTATAACAATGCAGCTACATTCAACGATGTTACAAGTTTAAAGAAAAAAATGAAAATTATTATACTTTGTAAGCACCATTACTCGTCAATTTCGTTTTTTGTTGGCCTGGTATTAAACTTTAAATTGGAGTCGTTCAGACATTTAGATGTGCAGAAACAGCAGATGCAAGAAGCTTAGAATAATAACGCATAGAATGATAGTTTCATATCAAACGAACTGTCACAAGTGAGGCAAAAATCAAATTCATGTAGGCTAGTTTTAGTAGTAAGTGAATTTTTGGTTTTAGTGAATATTTATATAAAAATACAAGTTGAAACGCGTTACTTCCTTGTGGAATGTGATGTTAGTATCTATTTTATGTTTGTCTGACGTATTTTTACACTCATTTACCGCACATTTCGTCATTTTTAGCTAAAATTCTTGATCTGTTCGCGGTGCAAGTTGACCTTGAGCACTGAAGGCCCGCCCGCTCGTGTAGGCCCTTTGAGCGCGATTCAATTTGCCTTACTTAGCGTGTGCGAACTAGGTTTCTATGCGTTATTATTCTAAGGCAAGATGTATATGTAACAGTAATAATGTAATTTGAAATCTAGAGTAATATATATTAATTTAATCACGTTATATGTTTAAAAATCAAGCAAACTTATGTTACTTTGTAAATCCCACTGACTGTTGTCTCTTTTCCTTGTACGTTACTTGACTAGATAATTTTTTGTTTCATTGGTAATAAAAAAAAGCACTTTGAGCCGGCGTAATTCAGATATTTAAATAATGTCGTGAAAAGTATATGTTAATTTGAAAGCTACACAATTGAACGAAGTTACAAGTTTAAAGAAATTTAAGAAAAAATAATGATAATTTGTAATGTACCGGTCATCGTGATCTTTTGTTTTTTATATACTTACTTGGTGATGTAATTCTTTGTTTGCCTGGTAATAAAATAGTACTTTCAATTTGCGTAGTTCAGATACTTAATGGTGCAGGAAATATAAAGTAAGTGTCTTAATTTAATTTGAAAGCTACAATGGTATGGTTTCATTTAATAACGATAAATCAATTCAATTCTTTATTGCATTTACCAGAATGTTACAAGGATGAAAATGGCTTAAAGCTAAGGTAACAGCGCATTATAGACCCTGTAGGGCACTGCAAATTATATACAAGGAGATGAGGGTTTACAGTATTTTCTCAATTATATATTAAAGGTAGTTATTATAGTATATTCACATTTTGCATTTTATAATATTAGATAAGAAAGCTTGCAGCTTTGACAAGCTTCTACAATTATATTACCTACTTACTATGTATAATAATTAAGTTATTACATTTATTGAAATATTTTCCAATAAGATTGTTTTACGTTCTATTTAATTACATGTTTATGTATTGATTGATATGTTTAATGTTATATGTCTAAGATATTTAGTTAAGTTTAAAAATAGTATTGTTTTTGGCGTTTGCATTGTAACAATAACATGTTTTTTTAAAGTCTATCGCTTAAATATTCGTCAACAGTGTAGTATGCTTTCTTAATTAGTAGCTCTTTAAGTTTATTATTAAAATCTACAGCTTTAACAGTGTCTCTTAATTGGTCCGGTAGTTTATTATATATTTTTACGGCCATAGCTAAGTGTGCTTGATGAGTGTAGTTTGAATCGGGATGGTGGTATTACTAATTTATTTTTATTACGTAAGACATATTTTGGGTTGTTATGTATCCGCGTACTAAAAAAAATCTGGATATTTCGTAACAAATTTCCAAGATAGAGATACTAGGTAAAGTGGGTATTTTATGTTTTTCAAAATATTGTTTGCAAGAATGGTATAAGTACAAGTGCCTGTAATTTTAATGTTTACTAATATCCTTATAATTTTTTTCTGTATAGTAAAGAGGCTGGGAGCATTTGTACTGTTTCTCCACATTGTAATACCGTAGTTAAAGCCACTCATATGCGTAAGCATAATACGTTACTAGAGCAGTTTCAAAGTTTGTAGTCTTTTTTATTTGAAGAAATTCATAAATGAATTTTGAAAGTTTAGATTTCATTTTTTGTATATGTCGTCCAGTTAATATTAGTATCTATTACTAAACCCAATAAAGTACACTCTGGAACAACTTCTAATTTAATGCCACTAAGATGAAAATTTACTGTAAGCGGTTATTTTTGGTACGGTTGGAAAGTCATTATTTTTGTTTTTAAAAAGTTTATTTCAAGGTTATGATTGTTCATCCAATTTATTGTTTTATTTAGGATTGTGTTAAGTTTTTCATTTAAATTGACATTTTTATTACATGAAGTAAGTATTAAATATCGTCTGCGAATAATATACAAGGCTCTTCTAAAATTTTCTTGTGTACGGGTTTAATAAGAGCTTTTTTAATAAGTTCAGGGAAAGTTCCTTGTGCAGACAAGCATTTCAAATGGTAACGTAAATTCTGTTGCACATTGTTTTATTAACTTGGGAGGAATTTCGTCTACACCATAACTATTTTTATTTTTTAATTGTTTTATAATTTAGAACACTTCGCAAGTGTCAAAATTACAAAGCCAGTAGCTGTTGGATTACGAATTTCGCCTATGGAAGAAAAAAGTTATTGAAACTGTTAGCCACAGTCTTTGGTTCTGAGGTTATGGTATTGTTAATTTTCAAAATAATATTACATTTATCTTTTTGAATTTTTTTGTTTGTTCTTTCGTTTATGATGGACCACATTGTCTTGACCTTAGAATAATAACGCATAGAAACCTAGTCCGCACACGCTAAGTGAGGCAAATTGAAGATTTCATGTCATCTCCTGTGCTAATTGTGTCTCCTAAGAGATTCAGGGTTTCCGTATTTATGGTATCATTGCATCTAGAACATCTTGCTTTATTTCTGATCGTTACATTCACATCCGAATTTGTGTGTATATCTTTATTCACGTCTCTTTCACGTAGCTGTAACGGTGTATCGGCGTTGCTTAGTTTAGGAGTCTTACAATAACATCCCTGACATTTCCATAGTTTTTTGTGTTCCGATGTCATGGTATTAAGAAAACGCTGTATAGAAACATTTGGGCATACCGAATCATAAGCATCACCGCAATAAGCACATGTCAATTTATTCCGGTTTAATTTCTGATGACACCCTGTGCATGCGGTCGCCATCTGGATGCAAATAATGGACGCAAAGAACAAGAGAAAGCAGGGGGAACAAGCTCATATAGCAATATTATTGTTACTGGACGTTTACAACTAGAATCGATAGATGGCGCCAGTAGTATGAAGCTGACTGTGAATGAATGACGAAGATTAGTGTATCGATAAATATTTGAGGTTATGAAACAATTAATTATGTATTGCTTTTGATTCCTTAAGTTAAGAAGTAAAAATAGTAGAACCACTTTTTCCTGTATTTTGTACTATTTTCAGAAACCGCATTGGTCAGTGAACTAACACAAATCTTCGATAAACGTCTTGAGTTTTCAAATCCGATTTATAAAGATCTTTTTGCTTTTTCCGCTGTACTTTGCACTTATGTTGTAGAAAACGTTACTGTCTAACGGTATTATAATTTTATAATCTTTAACAAATTATAAAATAATAATCTTTAAAAAAATGTACGAATATTATATTACTTTGTAAAGACAAAGTACCAGTGAATGTAATCTTTTGATTTCCATGTACTTACTTGTCAACTTTTCTTTTTGTTTGACTGGTAATCAAAAAGTAATTTAAATCGGAGTAGTTCAGACAGGTAATAATGCAGAAAGCATAAGTAAGTGTAATAATTTAATTTGAAAGCTTTAATAATACGGCTTCTTTTAACGATGATGATGATATTTAAACAAATTAACGAACATAATTATATTTTTTAAAGTACCAGTCATCTTTTTTTTGTTTTTTTTGTACTTACTTGGTAAGCTCAATTTTTCTTTGTCTGATAATAAAAAACTTCGAAGTTTAACAAGTTGAAGAAGTTTAGATATTTAAACAAAGCTATAGCAAAGAATAATGGCAAACTCCCATATAAATTTTTGATGACATAATTTTTGTGCGTCTTTTTATGAAAAATATGCGAAAATATAGAGTTTAGATTCCTGGACAAATTTTGTTTTGGGTTTACTATTCTGAGAAGTCTGTAATTAAAGGTATTTCAGTTCGAAATTTTAGAAATGTGTTAGATAATTGAATAAAATAATATATTCGGTATATTATTATATCAAAATAATCTACAGAAGCCTTAAATAGAGCTAATAGAACCTGAATGATGCCGTGGGTTTGTGAGGTGACGAAAGTACAGAGAAAAATATTTTTGATAATGTTATGGTCAAAAGGCATGAAGTTAAGCCATAACAAAAGAAAACTGAGTTATATTTGACAATTTTTTGTGAAACATCCATTGACTTACAATTATATGGACGTCGGGTCCGCGCTAAAAAGTGTCCCCACTTGTAAGGC